CATGGTGGATCGTTCAAAATGCACGTCCGCTTTTGTCAGAGTCAACATGGTCAAGTAGGGGATCTAGACGCCTGCGAAACTCGGGGTAGGCCTACCCGCATTACACGCACGCAGTGCAAGCAAGATGTGTGCCTACCTAGCAGGCGCTAGGAGAGCTTGCATTGGCTGAATTTGGCAGTTTCGTAAGAATAAATGACGAATGTTCTTTCTGGATGATACTACCACTTTAAGGGTCTATAATTCAATTTAAAGAACAAATTAGCAGAAAATTTATTTTGTTTTACGCGACACTATAGAAGAAAAGGCACGGAGTTCAGCCGCTCGCTCCGAAAGACACGCAGTTCAGCCGCACTATCAAAGACTCACGCAGTTCCTAACAGTAAACTACGTTTTTTTTCGGAGCATCCGTCTGAACTGCGTCAGTCTTGGAACGGGCGGCTGAACTGCGTGCCTTTCACTCAAAGGTCGGTTTCATATTTCACTTGTTTTTGAAAAAAATTATGAATGAGTTGTTACAGTTTACAATGACTACTGTCACTAATATACTTGACAGTTTCGAGAATGCTTTGAAATAATAAGTTGCTTAAAAATTTCCCAGAAAATGTTTCATTTTTCTTAACGAATGTCGCCCGCTGTCCGCACACTCGCCTGGTGCACGTTGAACTCCGTGGTGATGGAGCGCACGAGCTGCGCGACCATGCCTGAGCCCCTGACGCGCAGCGCCAGCGTGTGCTCGCCGACCTGCTGGTAGTCGATGCGGCCGTGGCGCCGGATCAGCATCAGGAGCGAGTACAGGAGCTCGTCCAGCAGGAACACGGCCAGCGGCAGCGCGGCCTCGAGCAGCAGCCCGACGGACTGCAGCGCTAGCGTCGTGCGCTCCTTGGCGCCCGGCCACACGCCCACCGCCTGGCGACGGAAGGATGATTCACATTTGTAAGGGGCTTGTTAGTGCGTTACATACTTTCTTTTCCCCAGGACCCCACATCCCCCCCCCCCTCAAGAAACGGGGCAGTCTAACCACGGCAGCCAACGGTGCTAATTGACTTCACTATCCGCGAGGACTCTGTTGGCCCAAGGTTCATGGTAATAGGGCACACTAAACATCTAGCGAGGACACGCTGCGGCTGCGCTGGATAGGCCAACCCTTTTAAGAAACTGCGTAAAGGTGGTAGCCCACCCAGCGGGCGCCCAAGTGCCGGACTTTCGGGCCAAAGAAAGCAATGCCACCCAACGTTATCTCGCGTCATCTTTGAAGAGCATTTTCCATTGTGAGAACCATACCGTACCGATTGGGCGGACGTAACAAACCCATAGTCTTTTCCTACCAAAACCCAACTGTCTGTTATTTTTCCCTCCTATCCTCTCACCATATTATTTTTATACATTTGAAATGTCGGATTGTGTTTCGTTGGTTAAACATGCGGTGCGTTTGTATGCTAATGCGAAGCCATTCGTCTACCCCGTCGCGGAGGCAAAATGTATTCCAGTCGCTTTCCTCGCAGGTCGGGGTCCGACCCGACCAGACCCGACGGCCCCAACGACTCTATATCTCTCATCATTCTTGTCCTCGACTAGAAACATCCCGGAGCGGGCTGCAGCGCGCGCATGAGCTGGTGGTTCCTCACGACGAGCAACAATTTGTTTATTCCGCTGGCGTTTTTGTCGTGGCGTAACTTCACTGTGCAGTAAAGGGGGGGGGGCTTGAATTGGTGGTGTGCAAGAGGGTATAAATCTTCAAAGGAGTGAACAGCACCATGAATGAAAAAAGTGTGTGGCGAAAACGTAAATAAAATTAGTAGGAGATGCAGCGCAATCATTACGTACGGCAGTTCAACACAAGTGGCTAATCTCCCGTGTGAGTTCGGAGGGGTGGTGCCACCGGTTGACCCGAATAAATAAGGTTGGGATTGGGACGATTGCTAGAAAAGTGTGACGGGTCGTCAGCGAGAGCAAATAAGGCGCAACCGAGAAGGCGTGTAGCGAAACTCAATACGGCTCGCAACACACGCGTGGCTCATGGCTCCCGGGCGCATGTTCCGCGAAATGTCTGGGCCGCTCGAGCAGGAGATGGAAGTGGAGGGAACTCGAAGAGCAAGAGATGGGGACAGGGGCGGAGAGCGAACCACCCCCCTGCCCCTCCCCGGTCGCCTCCCTAGTCAGCTCTTAAGAAGCCGCCTTGCGAGGGGCAAAAAAAAAAACTTCGGGGATCATGTGTATGTACACTTGCCTCGGAATCATCAAGACGAAAATTAATCTAAGTCAGCAGAAATTGCTTTAACTACTATAAACGGGAAACAAGTAAAGCTGGTACAAATTAGTCGAAATAAGCATATTCTTCAATTAGAAAACCGAAGGAATAAATATAAGCAGACGGGAATCACCAGAAATCAAGTATTTCGGGAATCGATGTTTGCACATCAAAAGGGAGTTGTTCACCCCTAGCGGCCTTGTAAAGGTAGGCAATTTGGCCACATGAACCCCTTAAATTAGGCAACCCACAGAACATCGCCCTCTCCGTCAGCTGGACAAACAAATATGAACCGCGCCTGGGCAGAGAAGATCCGCGGGGAAAACGACTACTGACTTGCAGGTCGGACGAGGCTGAGCGCCTGGACATGTCAGGTAAGGCCGCGTGCAACCGAACGGCCTGCAGCAGATTTGCGACACGGCGCGCAGCGAGGGACGTTGATCGAGCGATCGAGCGCGAAGGCACGGCGCACGGCCCCCAGGCCCTTCCCCCTCAACTTGTTGTGGCACATCTCTTACATACTCAGCGATAATTCTTTCGGACAACACGTGTCTTGATGGTGATCGAGGTCAGTCCCTGGACGTACCTCGATCAGCTGCAGCCGCTCGGCGCTGCGCAGCGGGAGCAGGTGGCCGGCCCCGCGCCGCCGCCGCCGCGCGTCCAGCCGCCGGAAGTACTCGGTCACGTACCGGTTGTCGAAGCTCAGGTCGGACAAGTAGCGGTCGTGGTAGTCTTGCGCCCCGAATAGGACACCTGGAGGCCGAAGGCATGAGGGGTGGCTTCTCTTCCCCTATAGGTCGTCCCATGGCCATTCAACCAGCCACGCACCGATGACCATGAAACCCAGGACCTTCCTGGCGACGCCCATGGCCGTGTCCAGGATGACCCGGGACCGCTGCATGTCGTGTGCCATGGCCAGGGCCACGTCGTCGGCGCCGTGCACGTCCACGATGGGGGCGATCGTCACCACCTGAGATTGAAGTTAGAGTCCCTGGTCCAGGAGTTCATTGCGTGGTTCTCCCTCCCTCACCTCATACTGCAGGCGCGCGTCCATGCCAGACTCGAGCGCGGACGAGGTATTCTGCAGAGATGAGTATTCGTTCCCGAACTCAGGCTGGACCACCGTGGACGGGTCGCAGGTGGACGCTCCCCCTAGCGTCTGAGATCGCCGACGGGTCCGCAAGCCATTCACGAGAACCGAGACTTTTGCTCGAACAAGTTGTGCGACATGCTGTTTACGCTATGCCCCCTCCCACCTTTTGTTTACCGAGACGATGCTGCAGATGAAAGTGAGCTTCATCGGCCAGCAGAGCAGCCAGGCCGCCAAGAAGGTCACCTTGTCGTAGCACTTGTCGTAGGCCTTGTCGAAGGTCTGGCGGCAGCGCTCGGCCGCCCTGGTGAGCAGCCCCTGGCATCGGTACTCGAGCCGTCGCCGGTACTGACGGCCGTAGCGCGCCGCGGCCGGCTCCTCGGGGGCGGCCGTGTACTTGCGCTCGATGTCCTCGCTGCGCGCCGTGTCGCCCACCTGCAGCAGGACGGGTCAACTCCCGGTGTCCAACGAGTTGGCGACTTGGGCGCGAGTTTGCCGTGATTTTGAGCGAGTTTGGCGCAAGTTTTTCGATAGTTTTCGATAATTGGGCGGGGCCTACCTGCCCCTCTGCCCCACCTCACCTGCGAGTCGAAGTAATCGTTCTCCTCGCGGATCTTTTCCGTCTCGTCCTCGTGACCCTCCACCTCCTGCTTGAGCGGTCCGGACACCTCGCGGACCTACGCACGGAGGTCATGGTCATGCGTGAGGTGCGCAGTCTCACCATCTAACCCATTGTTCAAATTGAGCCGTCGCACACAGCGACGAAGTAAAAGGGAGTCGAGTGTGGCTCCACCTGCCAGACATTCATGCTTTTTCGAAAGCCAGCGCCACAGCTTTGACAACTATATGGTTTTTTCACCAGTATGGTGGAGGAGGTGGTGCTGGCGGACCCACGAGGAGTGCAGTCGCCCAGCGTATGTAACGCTCAGGATGTGTGACGGGTCGTCAGCGAGAGCTAAGGCTTTGCTCTCGCTGACGACCCGTCACACTTCTTGAAGCACATATACGTTCGACCCCTCTTCTCCGACCGGGTCCGATTGCACTGCCTCTTCCGTACTAGGTAATCGCTATCGCTCAGCCAATATCAAAGCAGGTGGTGCCGCTCTTGACCCTCTTTTATTTGCGTCAGCACTGCTATTATTTATACTTGTGATACATTTACGACTGTAAAGGTGGATTCCGAGTTCCCTAAAAGCGAGCGTGATTCTCACGCAAAGCGTGATTTTCACGCTCGGCGTGATAAAGTCGATCCCAGATTGGCTGCGTGAAGCTTACGAAGCGTGAAAATCACGCCTGGCGTGAAAATCACGCCTGGCGTGAAAATAACGCATGCGTTTCGTGAACTCTGAATCCACACTAAGACTAAGGACATGACTGAAAAACATGACTTACGATTACAGTGCTGTATCGTAACATGCAGCGGTTTTGACCAATGTGTATACTACGACAGTTATAATTAAATGTTTGTTTTTTCGTTGGAGGTAAGTTGTTGTAATCAGAATTAAGGCCACTGCAACGTTATATGCGGTTTAACAATGAATGTGGCATGGCATACCACTGGACCTTCGGCGTTCGCTTTGTCAGACGCCTTACCTCTCGCTGACGACCCGTCACACATTCTAAGCAGTATAGGTTGGCCCAGTTGGCCGACTGTCCCAGATATGCGTGCGTTCCATTTTAATTTACGACCGTCGGCAACCCCACTGCCGCCGGCCGCCCACCTCGTCCGAGATGGTCTTGAGCTCCTCCGGGCTGGTCCGCAGGCGGAGGAGCGCCTTCTGCAGCGGCCGGTACAGCAGGTCCCAGCGGGTGCGGGTCAGGTTGGCGGCCAGCCGCGCGCCGCACGCGAACACCTCGCCCACCTGCGCCGGCCACAACGAGG